GCTAAGTACTTAAATATGATTATTTACGTCATAAGGTTCGATATCTTTGAGGCTCGATATCTTTGAAACGGCTTGACTTACGCAAAATGTCAATCAGACCTTTTTTGTAGAGCATAAAATTTCCTATAGGGGATAATTTTGTCTTACTTATGAAGTAGCTGTCAATTTTCAAGAAATACATTTCGATTTATAACCTTTATATTCTGTGTTTATAAAATATAAACATTTGACATTTGACGGTGACACACAGATTCCCCTGTTGTTTCATAGATGGCGCTCTACACAAATTTTTGATTTAAGTCATTTTAAGATAATAATATGTATTTTTCGTAGAAAAAGTATAGTATGCACCTCGTTTATAAACTTTTCTATACACTCATTAATTTAAACACTCGCGTGTATAAAATGTCGTTTATCAAACTTGATACATAATATACTATTTATGTATGTAAGTATGTTAAAATAGGTTTTTTTAAATATTTTTAAAAAGTTGCAATAATGGCGGATGCGCCGGGATTAAAATTTAAATTTTGTATATATTTTTTACTAATATTATGGTAATAATTAAATAAATTAATAAATAAATTATTGATAAAAATTTATGATCAATTCTTAAAGTTTTACATAGCTACATATATTGATTTTGGTAAATGTTGTTTTATTGTTATTTTATATATAATAGCACTGTAGGGAGGTGAAAATATTAAATAATAAATTAAAAAAATATCAAAAAAACAAGTTCTTGCAAATTTAGGTTAATTGATCAAAAGGAACTCTATGATTTTTTTAGATAATTTACGAAATTCAAAATGTGTTTTTGCAGATTTTATTTTCATTTAGTATAATTGAGCATTTAGATGTAATATTTCAAGAGTTAAAAATTTACCTTCAGTGTAATGTTTGTTTTAAAAATGTGCCTATGTTTTAATAATACAAAAAATTAATATTTACGAAAATTACGAAAACTGGTATTACTCTTTAAGTATGATTGTGTTTACTGTATTAATAATTCATGTGGGTGGGTTTGTAGAGGTGTTTACTAGACAGCTCGGGTTTCCTTTTACTATGAGTTTCAGTTTAGTAAACAATTATCAATAGGGTTAGCGTACGTTTGCGAGCAGTCAGACGGGCCGCAAAGCTCGGCAAAGTTGCGGCGCGGTGGCGGAGACTAGCGAAGATGGCAATGTCCTACCGCACGGACGACGACCTGCACTAGCAGAAACGCTGCACCCTGGTCCCGCCGCCATTGCCGCCGCCGCCGCCGCCACGTTGCGTCCCCAGTGCAAAGCAGGCACGGCTCTAAAAAACACTGTTAAAAATGTATGTAAAATTACCACATTTTAAATAAGCAGTTGCATAATAAAATTACAAAATGTTGTCTATGTAGATATAAAAACAACTTTGTTGTAAAGTTTTACGAAATTTATTAAATTTTGACAATTGTTTCGCTACACAGTAGCTTCTTCAGAATGTATTAAAACTAATACTACTACAAAATTTATATAACAAAAAAATATTGGTATTCTAGGTAAGGATTTAATTCTACATCTACCTGTGTTACATAATATTAAAATAGGATAATATTAAGAAATTCCTAAAGGAAAAAACCTAATGTATTTATTGTTAACAGTTTTATTAGAGGGAAAAAATATTTTAAATGTGTAATTTGTTGTATGTTGATAAAATTAAAATAGCTTTAACAGTGGTGAATTATTAGTTTCTATTTGTTCATTGAGAATATTATTAGTATTTTTAAATTGTCAAAATTTAATAAATTTCGTGAAACTTTACAACAAAGTTGTTTTTATATGCACATAGTTAATATGGAGTTTCATCAAGTAAAGGTCGAAACAATTAATAATACATTGTATTGTATTGCAATTTTAATACGCATTTGTTGTAATATTACATTTTGTTATAGCCAAAGTACTAAACAGGTTCCAATTTTCCAATGTTTTTGATTTTGTCAGATACTTATAGTAATTTTACAGTTCTGTATTGTAGAATTGAATTTTGTAAAATTTCTATACATATTCGGAATTTATTTTTACTAAGATAATGAATAAAATTACCCAACCAAAATTTGCTGTTTGAATTACAATAAGTGTTTGGAAATATACAAATCATTATTTTTATACAACTTCTGTTTGCATTTTTACTATATATCATTTTAATCATGTACACTGTTAAAAAAATTTGTAAAATTACAATTGTTTTGCAAAACAAAGGATGAGTAAAATTACAAATCAGTGCATACCAATACAAAATTAGAATACAATTTGAGTAATCTTCCAAAACATGTTGGGAAATCTACTAAGATAAGTTACAATCTATATGTATAAATCCTAAACGCATTGTAATTTTACCAAACAGTTTGACAGTTTCTAATAAAAAGCATCTCAGATTTACAAACGTTGTTTGTAATTTGATTTGCTATAATGTTATGTAAAATGCATAGTATGTACCGATTGCGGCAATCACGTGATGTTCTTACATCTCGCCTCGGTTGACTTAGGTGGACAGTATATAAGCTCAGGTGTCTTTCGTATTTGGTGTGTTCCAATACACCAAATTGTAATGGGTCAAGAAAGTTTCTTGAAAAAACTAAGAAAATTGCAGGTTTTCCTAGTATAATTACAATACCATCATTCGTAAATTACTAAATATTTTTGGTGTAATTTGTTGTAAAAAATACAATATTTGTATTGTAATATCGCGAAACAAATTTTCTTCAGTTCAGGAAAATTACAAAATATATTTTAGCAAAATTACAATACCTGTATAGTAATGTTACTGAACAAATTTTTAATAAATGCTTAGTGAATTTTAACAAACGTTTTGTAATTTTCCCAAATTGAATTGTAATGAATCGTGTAGTGAATTTACTAAACTGAGTTTTATTATTACTATATTGTGGTGCGTAAAACTTTTAAATTTTTAACAGTGTATATATATATATTTTTTTGAGGCAGTAATAAAATTGACTATTTTAGATATCTAGCTTTATTAGTCATTAAATTTTTTTGTAAAATTCAGGTTTAAACAAAGCTCTGAAGCCTGTACTGGTTTAGATCAATGTGATGGGGGCGGCGGCGGCGGCTCCGACGCCGGTTACCAGCGTCTGACCCCGCCCGCCAGACGGTGCACTTCAGGTGAAAGTCTGATGACTCCTTAGCTTGCCTGCTCAAAATCCTGCCGCTACCACTGGCTGGCAAAACAGACGGCGGGTCACATAGTAACGCAAAAAAGTGAAGCTTGAAATTAAGTAAACAGTGAACAAAAAATTTTATAATAATAAATCTGACAATAAAATAGATACATGTTTTGACTTAAATATAATATTTTTTTTTAATTTAAGCAAAAGATATCGATTTGAATTTTTAAAGAGTTTTATTAATTTTTTGTCTTTTAAACAAAGTTATATGATTCTAAAAATGCTACCCCCATTTCCGCAAACCTACTAGCAAAAAAGTTATAGGCTATTTTTGGTTGGTATTAATCTTTTAATATGTAAAAATTTAATATAAGTGTAAAATTAATAATATATGCTTTGTATAAGTTGTAGGTAATTTTTTATGTATAGGACATTAATATTCATAAATAAAATTTGTTTTGTACTTTTCTGTACAAAATGCGTATTTTGCTTTGCCCGTCTCATCCTGCATTCAGTCAGTGACATAAAGCAACGGCAGAAAGGACGTTCAGGTCGTGGCAGAGCAAAGAGGGTCAACCACCTGCCCTCGTAAGGTCGCGGTCATGAAACGGCGGCGGCGGCGTGGAGCCGCCTTGGACAGGCGGCGGTGCCCGCAACTGCAAACAATCTCCTGTACGGGGGTGGCCAGCTCTCACTCCCGTCCCAGGTCCAATGTACTGTGTGTGAACTCTGGAAGCATAATAATTTACAAATTTTTAATTTTAAGTAAAATTTACCACTTAAAAATATACCTATAGTCAGTTTATTAAGATGGAATTATAACATCATTGTTATAATCGTCTACACCAACTAATTAGGAGTTTGTCGTTTCGCAATATTACAATACAAATATTGTTACTTTGTACAATAAATAACCCTAAAAATATTTAGTAATTTACGAATTGTAATTATACTAAGAAAAAAAACCTGCAATTTTCTTCAAGAAACTTTCTTGACCCATTAATGTATAGATTAAAAAAAATTGAACCTTCACCTCGCCAGAGTTTTTGTTTTAAGTGTGTTCCACCAACTTCAAATACCGACAGACAGATAAACCTATTTTGGGTCTTAACAATGTCGGGCAATTTGGTGTATTGGAACACACCAAAAACGAAGGACACCTGAGCTTATATACTGTCCACCTAAGTCAACCGAGGCGAGATGTAAGAACATCACGTGATTGCCGCAATCGGTAATTACTATGCATTTTACATAACATTATTTTAAATTTTTAATTAATGTAAATCTAAGATGCTTTTTATTAGAAACTGTCAAACTGTTTGGTAAAATTACAATGCGTATAGGATTTATACATATAGATTGTAAAATTTCTACTTATCTTAGTAGATTTCCCAACATGTCTTGTAAGATTACTCAAATTGTATTATAATTTTGTTTTGGTATACACTGATTTGTAATTTTACTCATCCTTTGTTTTGCAAAACAATTGTAATTTTACAAAAAAATTTAGTAAAAATGCAAACAGAAATAAAATAAATATTGATTTGTATATTTCCAAACACTTATTGTAATTCAAATAGAAAATTTTGGTTTGTAATTTTTTTGATTATATTAGAAAATTAAATTTCAATATGTATAGAAAATTTCAAATTCTATTCTACAAAACAGAATTGTAAAATTACTATAAGTATCTGACAAAAACAAAAGCATTGTAAAATTGGCTATAACAAAATGTAATATTACAACAAATGCTTATTAAACAATACAACATTTGTAATTTTACTATGCAACTGCTTACTAAAAATGTGGTAATTTTACAAACATTTTTAACATTTGGCATTGACAAGTCGTGTCAAATAATATTTACTCGAATATTCCGTATTTTTCGAATTTTCCAAAATGAATGAACTTAAAATGGCTCAAAGCAAATCCTGGTTGGAGACTGTCCTAACAGAAGCATCATCCGGTGATTCCCAGCCGAATATAGCAGAAGAATACTGTCACCTCATAGAAAACCCGAATTACTGCAACATAATGAAGTCCGTTTTGAAGTTAACAAGCCAAAATGATGCCAAAGATACAGAGAAGCCGGAAGGTTTGGAAGATCCAGAGAGGAGCAAACTCACCAACAGGGAATACCTTGAAGATACAATTTTACCGATTTTGATGTGTGGTTTGACTCACATTTGCAATGTCAGACCTCCAGATCCTATTTACGGTCTAGCTGCTTACATTGTGAAAAATAAGGAGGTTTATCAGGAGGCTGGGAAGACATATTACACGCCGAGGAATGTTGTTACACATGTGCCTTCTGAAATGTAATGTTTTTACAGTTTTTTAATAAACCATGCGTTTTTATACAGTATTCAAAAATAAGACCCAAAAGAAAATGAAAAGAATGTAATTTGATGTCCGGGAGCAGCCAACAACAGTGTTGCCAAAACAACATCACCAATTTTGAATAACCAATTCAATAGTTTTAGTATTATAAGTTATAGTTTATAGATAGTCTCGATAATGGGTTAAAGATTGCAATCTTGAAAAATCTTGTGGGTTTTAGTGGGTGCAAATGTTGAGTCAATGCAGACGGTCTCGGTTGGCAACACTGCAGTAGCAGCAGTCTGGTTCACGAGTTCATAGCGAAAGTTGGGGTTGGGGGGCTTACAAGCCCTGGAATCCGCCGGAAAGTGTGGTATGGGGTCCCTCCTCTCACTTCATGATTCGCATGGTTCAGACGCAGCTTGCTGTGGCGTTCCAGTTAAAATATCTATCTCTCCCCCATCTACTATTCGATATATAAATTGTAGCTACAGTTTTTTTTTATTTAGACGAGTTTTTTATTAAGTTGTTAGCTTTTTTTAGTATTTAAAAAATGGTAGTTCTACTGAAGACCTTTATTAAATACTCCGCTAGGAATACTTTGTCTCTCCTGGGCCGTAGTCACCTATATTTAACTACTTTTTTATATGATTTTACTCATCTACGCACTACTAAAGCTAAAGTTAACTGTATTAAAAATGACAATTAGATAATAGTATATTTTGTAACATTTAAGCTTTAGATCATTTCCCAATATCCCAATATTTTTCTCACTATTATAATTGCATATTATGTATAATGGATTTGTGTCACTGGAAAACTCCATGATTTATATTTAAAGGGTGGCTCTCCAACCCTTTTAAAAGTGATTTATTGTCTCATACTTATACTTATGGCAAATGGATACTTTGATTTATATCTAATTTAATTGCTTAACAAAATCCTTACGTAAATAAAGGGATTAGTTATTTAAATTACCTTTTTTATGTGGTAGTACATATTGCCTAAAACAAATGTGACCTATGTATTGGTAGGTACATACATACATATGTAATAAGAGAAGGACTAAATTGCTTGTCTACCTTGAAGGTTTATAGGTAGGGTAGATATTTTATTATGTCGGCTAGACATAGTCCCTTTAGTAAAAAATTAATAATTTATGGGGAACTCTTTTCAACAATACTGCGTCAGACGAACGTGAAACAATAGATAAGCAGTGCAAATAGTGCGATCGTGTAAAATGCCCTTTTAATGTCACCAGACAGATAGGGTGCACAGTGGGAAAATTTAATAAAATTATGCATTTTTATTTAATAACTAGTGTTCCCATTTGGCTTAAACTTTTTATGTTTTTTTACCCTATAACATTTTTCAGAATTTTAAATATCCATAACTTTTTTAAAAATTGACTTGTCGCGACGTATTTTTTGTTTTCAAATGTACTTTTCAGAAAAATATAGAAAAAAATTATTCACAGGTTTTTTAAATTTCGAAAACTTCTCGATGATTTTCATTTTTGTTTTTTTAGAAATTGACATTTTTTGGAATATCTGTAAAATTTTGGCGTTTTTTTTGTTTTTAATTTGTTTTCCAATTCTCAGAATACTACTCTAGGGATTTTTGAGGATTTAGAGAAAACATCAAAGTTAAAAAAAAATTTAAATTGGTAATCATAAAAAAATGTTTAATATTTTTCGAAAAAGTAAGAAAAAAAATTGTTCTGAATAATTTTTTTATGTTTTTTTTAACAAAGAAAATTAAAAATTAATTATATATACAATATTTAAAAATACAATAAATACAATAAATACAATAAACTCAATAAATACAATAAATACAATAAACACAATAAACACAATAAATACAATAAACACAATAAAACAATAAATACAATAAATACAATAAATACAATAAATACAATAAATACAATAAATACAATAAATACAATAAATACAATAAATACAATAAATATAACCATGCTTTCGAAGCAAAAAAACATGAAACGAATCCCATCTCAAATTAACGACTTAAAATTTTTTAAAAGCCTGTTGTTTGTCCAAAAATTAACCAAATAAAAATTTTTTCTCATTTTCTATGATTTTAAATGTAATTTTCAAGAAAATATAAAAAAAATATTCAGAACTTTCCAATATCTTTTTCTTACTTTTTCGCTAAACATTAAAAAAAATCGAGGATTTTTTTAAACTTGAGGTTCTCTCTATATTCTTAAAAACACAAATTTTTGTTTTTTTTTTCGAAAATTAAAAAAAAACGCTAAAGATTGGTCTGAATATTTTTTCTAAATTTATCTAAAAGTACATACAAAAACAAAAATTAAAAAAGGTTACGATAAGTCACTTTTATAAAAATAAAGAGCCATTTTTTTTAATTTATAAATTTTGTTCGATTGGGTAAAAAGAATTAAAAAAATTGTGAAAAATGTTTTTGATAGCGTACACTCAATTTTTTTTATAAATATAACAAAAAAAGTAGTTTGTCTTAATAAGGTAGTATTAATGAAACCCTAATGGTATTATTCATAGACATTTTGTAAATTTTACAAATCCCTTTTCGTTAAAAAAAAAAAGTTTTTTTATAATATTATTAAAATGTATGTAAATTAAACAACATAATAATTGTTAATTCAATAAACCATTCTCATTGTAACAATGGTCACATTTTCAACCAACTGTTGGGTGTTGGGTAGTTAACAACATAACAAAAAAATTATATATAAAACTTATATTATATGATGTACAAAATAAAAAAAATATGAACTCACTTTTTAAACAACAAGTCTGCTTCGTTTATAGAATAGTCCTTAAATATTTCTTTTAGAAAACTTCAAAATTTTAATTTTCTTAGTGTTTTTTTTTGATATTTTTATCAGGCTAGATTTTACCACACTTCACTAGCACAAGTGAAATCAATAAGATTATAACGCAGACTGTGGATTATAAAGTTATGTTCACCAAGGAGAGCGCTGGCCCTTTCCCCCTCTTTTTAAGGGAAATAACAAAAATTTTGATACCATTGCAAAAAAATAGTAAATATAAAAAAAGTCCTTTTATCAAACTTTTAAAAAATAATACACAAAAACATTTTTTAAGTTAATTTTCGGCAAGCCTGGTATGCAAAATTCAAATTCATCCATCCGATAGTGAGACGGAGCAAAATGCAGTTGAATGTCATGCCATAACGCAGCATGCCATGCCTGTAACAGTGTTGTCAAATCATACATTCTACACATTACTGATTAATTAACAATTTTAGTTACTCTAAAATTAATATTTGATTAGGAGGAATAATAACAATAATATTTTATATAAAATTAGTATATTACATGTTATTAGTTTTGGTTGAATTTTTAAAAGTTAAAATCCTAAAACCATAACAATGTCAAAGTTGATTTTAAAAAGACAAAAACAACAATTTTGAATATCAAAATAAAATTCAAAAAAGTACTAATTAATGAATATTTTAATTAATTTAATTTCCGAAATCTGGACGTTAATTTGTACAATTACAGTGGATGTGGCAACACCGCTCGATAGCAGTAAATTGTGGACGGACGCCTGCCTGGGGATAGAGGAAGTGGGGGGACGTCGCGACGCAGTATAAAGCTTCAGACGCGCGTCCTTGGCCGACTGTAGGGTGAATGGCCATAGCTGTGCGACGCTTGACGTCGACAGTGTTGCCAGGTCTCACCGAAAGTTGCAGTCTTAACTACTAAATACTAATACTAATACTAATAAGTCTCGTTAATGAGCTTTTCTGTTTAGTTGTAATAAAAACTGCAGTAGAATTATCTTGGCATTAATATTTAATATAATCGTAATAAAAACAAAATATTAGTAGTAATTTTACGCTTTTTAGATAGTAATTAGTACTTTGTTAAGTAGATCCATTAAAAAAATGTTCGTGACTTAATTTTAAGTATGTATTACAGTAATTATTATACCGAGATTTTACTTTCAATGTGAAAATTATTAAATAAAAAGTAAGATAATTATTTAATACAATTTATTTTAATACTAGGTAATTCTGATTTATACAATTAAGTGCTTATTGTAAATCTAATTAAAATTTATTTTCTACAAATTCATGAGAAAAGTTATGATAATGGGATATTGAATTTATAATTCTTCTTGGTAGGTAACATTTAATAGCCATGTACTTTCAAGAGAAACATAAAGAATATTTAATTCTTGTTAAGAATTAAATACAAAAATATTTTAAAATAATATTTTATACTGAGAAACAAGTTACTCATCCAAAATAATTAATTAATAGTTTAAAAATAAAAACTGTGATGCGAAGGTGACAAATGTGTTACGAATATTTTTTTATATATTTTTAGTTTTCAAGTACCTATTTAAAAATACACAAAAATATAAACTTAAGTACAATATACAGTGTGACCCATTTGTTTGCGACTCAACCCTGTAAAATCTTTATTTATTGTGCGATCTTAATAAACTGTTTTTTTGAAACAAAACGCCATTTGTACAAAATACAAGGCCTACTATGTCAATTTTTAAGAGTAGATTTTTAAGAATTCGTATTAGGGATTTTTTTAATCAAAATCTAAGCACGGCACTGGATTCACCAACCCCTCAAAACGATCCTTTACTAAATTTTATTAAAAAAATTTAAGTAGAAAAAATGCACAATAATAACTACAAAAAGTTATCCATGAAAAAAACATTAAAATAAAATTAAACTTATAGTAATAGTACCATAGTAAAATGTACTACATTTTGTAATTAAAAACTGTTAATGTTACAAATTTTCACAAATTCATAATTTTTAGAAACTTCATAACATAATAACTTTTTTCGTGCAAGATCGAAGAACAAATGGGTGCGATATGGGACATTCCCCTTTACTATGTAGATTACATGTTTGTTAAACTTTTTATAAGTAATAATAGCACAGCGATTTTAAAGATAAACATCACGTCAATAACGAACGTAAGTCCTTAATGGGTTTTAGTATTCCCAACTGGTGGTCACTGACCTATGGCTATGCCATGCT